CTACCTCCATCCCACTGAAACCCACCATCCCTTGTGTGGTTTTCTAACCCCACGTCCAAGCCTCACCTGCATTTGTGGCAGCAGCGGACCAGGTCATCTTGCTGCACACGGTCAGTGAGAAACTGAGGTCGACAAAGGGGTAGGCGGATTTTGGACAGGAGCTCGGGGAGGAACGACTCTCTCTGGTCTCGGTCATACCGTATCCAAGCTAACGCAGCTTCAAACACCTACGAAGAGAGGGATGGGATGTTGGAGTTTTGGGTTCTTTTTTTTGCAAGTTCCTACTGCTGCCAGTTGTCTGATGGAAAGGAAACAACATATTGACAATGATCTTCCCCTGATCTTGGATGACATAGTTTCAGGACAGAACGGCAATGCTCTACATTGCACCAGAGGGCTCTCCTGTCACGCGATGCTCGGGTGGCTTGGCTTTGGCCTTGCTTTCTCTGCCTCTGACTTAGTCTGCAATAATACTGATCTATTGTCCCATGGGATGGTATGTTTAGTACGAACGTTTGCAGGGAGATGAGGGAGCTGGGAAGAGACTTTTGTTAGAGGGGGTGGGACAGAATGCAAAACCTTGTTTATGTAGTGTCAAAAATCAGCAAACTGGGGAAGAAGAAAAGAGAATGGTGCTGCTCTATGAAAACCAGAAGACAGTTTTGATGAGAGGGATCCATCTGTTAAATTCGGATAGCTACACAATAGATGTCTAGAGCTGAGCTGGCCTCTCTAGGCTCCCTTCGCAGACACTGGAGAGGCAGACCTCTTCGGAGCACAGTTCACCTGCCCTGTTTTGGATGACTCCAGACTACAAAAGGAGCCTGGTGACTAGTTTAATTGGAGACACGTACTCCTTGGTTCACAGGACACTCACAGTTAAAGCCTGAGCTGGGTTGTCCTACACTCTTGCGCTTACACCCAGATGACTACATTCAAGTCCCATCACTGTTGCCCAAGGCAGAACTCCCGCTGAGCACAGCGTCCTCAGCACTGACCAGGGCTCACACTCCATGGCCAACATCGCACCCTGCAGCCTCTTCTCTGTTCACAGGTTCAGCTCAGGGAGATCACAAACCCAGTCTCCCAGAAGCTGCAGGAGAACTGGTCACTGTGGTCATGGCCACCACCTTGCAGGACAGCTGCCCTCCTGTGGTTGTAGAGAAAAGTCCAACAGTACCACTGACCAGAACAAAACTATGAAGTCCTTCTTTTACGGTGGAGGTCTGGAGTCTCTCACATCGCCTCTCCTGAGGCTTTCAGTGCACAAGTACTTCTTCAACAGCACCATGGTGAGCTTAAAACTACCTTCCACTCTACAAGGTGCTTTATGACCAGCAGATAGGCTGCACTGCACTAAAATACTGCCATTTCTGAATTGGGGGCTGGCAGCTGTCAGGGCACGAGGAAACGTCACCAGGGACAGACTCTTTGGACTCCTACCTGCTCCACAAAGGATCCACTTGGAAAAAAACAGCAAGAGACAAATTTGTGGTACGATACAGCAACGTGGCTGGAATGTGAAGCAGGTTCCCCCACCTTCCCATTTCAGGGGCATTTCAGACAGCCTGATTAGCGAAGCACTCTTACCCTACATGGAGATAGCTGTAGGTCTGCTTTTCATTTGTCATCTCCTTAGTAACCTCCTCAGAAAGAGCAGGACAGATTTCCTGGCTCGAGGACAGATTCTGTTTCTCCTGCAGACTGTCAGCCCAGCACCGACAGATTCTCAAGGCTATTGAAACATCCTAAGGTGGCTCAGCCCTGTTTTCTGTTTTTTTCTAGAAACAGGACAGTCCAGAGGAGCCCCTTGATGGCAAATTCAGTGGAACATTTGTTATAAAATGCTGCAGGACTCGCAGCAAATTCTTTACACCTCAAAAGCACTCCTTTGGACTTGAACATGAGCTCTGTGAGGAAGGGCTCCCTGCCACTGCTCACACCCTCAGCCTCTCTTCCCCAGGACCAGCAGCTTACTGACACAAGGGGCACAGCAGAAGATCCTCAGGACCCACCAGGTTCCACCTCTGTCACTGATGAATCAAAACACCTCAAAACAATGTTTTGCAAAATCTATGGTCCGAGAAACTCTACCGGGCATTTCTCAGAGCAACGTAACATAGGCAGCACTGACAAGAAGTGGGGCGCAGGGAGTCATCATAGCTCTGTCTAGCACCTCTTAGTCTCCCCACTGTGCCAGGACATCTTCATTCAGACCAGGAATAGGGTCATATCCCATTCCACTCCCAAGCAACCAAAAACCCTCCAAAAAACCTCTTCCGAGGCCTACGCCAGGTACACACCTGCTCTTCAGACTTCACGTTGAGCTCATCCCTAGAAACGAGCTCCAGGACGTCTTCAAAAGGCAGTGCCAGGAACTCTTCGGACATGGATACCTCCACAAAGTGCTGATGAATGAAGCTGTTGGCAGCGTCGTAGAGCACTGCACACATCATCGTCTCTGCAAACTGCCGCACTCCCAGACAGTTCTTAGGGTGAAGCCTGGGAAAGGGGGGAAAAGGAGAGCAAAAGTAACGTCAGTTTAATGGAAGGGTAGAAAGAATTACGAACAGGTTCAGTGAAGCAATGCAAGCCTCAGAGGATACGTGATGCAGTGAAAGCCACAGCTGTGTCTTCTTCAATGATGGCAGGTTCCAGCTTACTGATGAATGTATCTACACAGAGATCTGAAGGTGAATCCACAGCAGGGCCAGAGGATGGAAACCACAACTTACAAATCTCTCCTGAGACCTGCCAAGGAGCCACTGGACAGACTCTGCTGGCTCTGCGTGAAGGCTGCAGGTTGTCAGTGGAGGGGAAGCGTGAGGCTCTGCACAGCAATCCCTCCCTCCCACATCTTGGGGTGCCTGGGCTGTGCATCTAGCAGCTTCTTTTTTGTTTTTAACTCCAGTATTGGGCAAAGCTGGATTCAAGCACATTGCGCAAATACCGACCATCGGTCTGTTTTTCATCTTACATTTTTTCTAAGTACTACAGAACAGCATCTGTTACAGCTTCATAAAGCCATTTCCTAAGATTAAGGAGGCTTTATCACCAAAGATGCTTTTGCAACTGGAGGTCAGACAGTGAGAAGTAGTGCTGCAGATCCGAGCCTCTCTCCACACAGCTAAACAGCCACTGCACAAAGCTGCTCAGTGGCATGAAGAAGCTGGAGAAGATGATGTTCATTACAGTCACGTGTTCTACAGAAACAGGTATGTGTCCTGGATGCTCCTGTCCAAACAAGAAGCCCTGCCCAGTACAGGCATGTCACCGTTCAACAAGAGCCAATAGTTGTGTTGTTTTGTGACGCTAATCATCAGATACTAAACTAAATACTACCTATATGGAGAAAATACCTTGGGCTCTGATGGTTTCAGTGTCTAATGGTCTGCAAAAACCAGGCTCAGCTGTTGACAGTGGTGTCCAGATGTACGCGAGGATGTGACAACGCTTGTGTCTACTTTGGGGAAAGCACCCGCAGTTACTGCCCTGTACTGTGCTAAGAGCAAATACAGAGCACTGATGGGGGGGACCTTCACGCGAGGATGGCTCTCAGGGCTCAAACAGAGCTCGGTTGCAGCACTATGGACCTGTCTGTGCACAGCAGCCTAAAAATATCCCAAATCTTAATTCCATTTAAGAACGAGAGCTCAGCCTGCATGCTCCAGCTCTTCAGGATGGTCAGAGTCCACCAATTTTCTTGTTACTAATCAAAAGTGACAGGATATAATTTAGGACACTCAGTTGCTCCTGGTAAATTTGGGAGAACTAGCAGCTAAATCTGAGAAACCAAATCACTGCGCTTAATCTAGATATAGATACAACCACTTAAAGCTAGCAGGGACTCAAAAATCAAACCATCTTCTTCCAGCTCAGTGTCATATCCGGTACCTCAAATAAAATGTTTTTGCAAGAAAAATGAATACTCTGTAATCTTACATAACTTAATTTTAAACAAACTGCAGAAAGTCAGGATGCACATGGGACTGAAAATCGAGACATCTTAAACATTTTTTCTCCCCATCCATGGGTTTAGGATACCTCTATTTAAAAGCAAAGAAAAACAACTGGCTGAGATGTTCCATGTATTTGGCAGGTATGTTTAATGTCATACCACGGAATACACTGAACAGCTGCAGAGAAAGCAAGCTGGGGAAGGGAGGGGGAATTAAACACGTAAGACTCCCTGGCACAATCTGAAGATGTGTGTGGTACGTTTCCAAAGAACAGCCCAGCTTTTCCGTTTCCAGATCATGCTGCTGGAACAGACTTGCAGCCAAACACCAGCGAGGGAATTGAAAAGCCTGGGACCAATTCAAGGTTCTGCCACAGCTTCCCGTCCAGCTCCTTGGCAGAGTCCCTTTGTTCCTTCCCTCTTACACACGTAACAGCAGAAAAGGTAATTACTGCGAGGATGGGTTTGTTAGCGGTAGAGGCAGTCACGCACCACTGTGATGGGTAACCAGCTAGCTAACTCTTAAAAAGGGAAATGTTCGCTCAGTTTTGTTCTGGGTATTAACTCCCATGGCTGGCCAAGGCCTTATATCGTGTCCCAGCTGTAGCATCTCATAAGCCAGATAAGTTATTTTATAAGCCATGAGAATGACGAGTCTTGGGAGATGCAGACCTCCTTATCACGCTGGCAGGAGACATCCCACTTCCTCCCAAGCCAGACACAGATGACTAAAACCTTGCTGCTGTTGGGGAGCAGTAAGCACAGCCGAAATACAACCCCCTACCTCTCTCTGAGGAAAGTGCAGCAAGCGTCTTTGATGTTCTGCAGCTGAAGGAAACTTGCCCCCATCAGCAGAGACTGGACATTCTGCTGATCTATTGCCAGGTGACCATTGTAGGCAAAGTTGATCAGAGCCTCAAGTGCACTAAACAAGGGGGAGAAAGAGCAGAATTTATTAACAGTTAACCTAACAGGGGATCCTACTAACAGAAAAACCTTTTCTAGCGCCATTCATGCAGAGGGTAGGCTTTCAAGCCTTGCACGCACAATGCCGAGGCCCACAGAGCACTCACTCGCATGTCTTGGGACCTTACCTGGGATCCATCCCCTGCATGACAATCTCATCCTGCTTGCACTCCATCATGTCGTTGGTGAACATGGCGTGGAAGTACGGGATAGAAGCTGCCAGCACGATCCGGTGAGCGCTGAATTTATGGTCCCCTACCTAAAAAGAGAGAAAAGGGGAAGGAGGGAAGATCAGCACCATCCACCACCAACTGCACAGTCCAGATGATTCACTGTAGAACAGCTCCGCCAGCCCAGCAGTAACCGAGGGCTGAAAGTTGGACAATTTCCATTTGCAAACAGGACAGCAGCCTGTCTCTTGAATTCAAACTTCTGAATCCAGTTTTCCAGCCTCATAAGCCGCCATGAGTGGTCAACCGAGCAAAGATAAAACAGTATTACAGCCCAAGAGCAGGTTGTTTCCAGATTGCTAACAGAGAACACCCAGGTCCATGGAACCACGTGTTTACACAAATCAACTCACTATTCAACTGTGCACACAAGTTTCAAACCCAGATCTGCTTCCCCCAGCTGCTCAGGGCAGAAAATGCTCACCCATGGCCCTGCTTCAGATAACACGCTGCCCCTAACAGCTGGGAATCACCGATCCCACATCCCCCGTCTGATCCCAGGACACCCCGAGCACAGCCACGAAGGCTCAACCTGAGTCCTGGATTGCAATTATTCTGCAGAACTAAAAGCTGGGCAATGCGGCCACCCGCTTCCTCTTCCTTAGCTCTTCCTCTGAACCGATGACCGGCTTACAGGTTAAATCCCCACACACTTTTCTTCTTGGCCAGCCATCACGTACCTTCGGCTTACGCTCAGAGCCAGTCACCTTCACTATAACCTAGAGGCTCATATGGGCTCATCTTCTTTAAATCTCTGCAGGTTCACTTCCACCAGCTCTGCTATACCTGCTGACGTTTATATCCTCTAAAGAGCCTTCTTCAGCCATACGGCGCGAGGCTTGGAAGGGGCTTCTTGCATCTCTGATTCCACTTCTCACTCCTGCAGACGCTATACAGTATTTTATCCTCTTCTGAATGACACAGGTCTTTCGTCTGATTACTTCTTCCTGTTGATTCAGGGCTTTTTTTCCCTAATTTCCAGGCTAACCTGACTCACACCAGTCTATGCCCATCTTAGCTTGTGCAGAACTGCCCGTTTTCCCCACTTCAGCAAGATTTTCCCATTTGAGATTCATTTTGCTGGGACAAACAAGCTGGCACAGCAGGTCCTCTACTCTCCAGGTCATCCTAGAAGCCCTTCTCTTCTCCTCCGCACTTCTCTACAAAAAGCTTCACCACCCTTTCATGTCTAGGCAGCTTATTAACAAAAATGTTGTTTGCATTTAGGGTTTTCACGATTCCCAACAGTGCCTTGCCACTCCCTCTAGGCCCAGAGCTCTCACACCTAGTAAATACAACTTGCTGGGAATTTAGAAAGCAGAATTCCTGACACATTAAAAAAAAAAAAGTAAGAGAGCAATTGGGCACTATGCAAGATGCATAAGCAAGCAGGATTTCTTTTTTTTTTCTTTTTAAACAAAAGCATACTCAACTGCCACAAATGCTGTCACAAGATTTTTTCAAAACCAGCTTGACCACCCAGCTGCTCGCTGTGTGTGCCTGCCTGCACGACGACTGGGACTCTCAAACATTTAGCGTGTGGTCAGCTCACAGCGCTGCATGCCTCGGGTGCAGGGGCAAGTCTGCTCTGCCTGAGCTTCCCAATTTAAAATTGTGCTGCAAACACCCAGTCAAACTGCTTTCAAAACTTGGTCCAGCCTGGCAATGGCAGGACCACTTTTGGAGAGCCTTGCCTCTGTCCTGGTCAGCTTAGGTGTGCCTGGACCCCTGCCCATGCTGTCCACTGTGTCTGGATTACCCTGCACAAGCCCTGCTGTCCTGGATTTTGCAGAGTTCCCAATGCCCAGAGCAAAAGCAGCTAGTGAAATGGTATGGACTATTACAGCTCATGGAAAAAAACCCTCACGTATATACTTGTATGGCGACTTGTTAGCTCAAGATGAGTAAAGCCCAATATCAATCTCTTCTACTAACCCAAAACCACATGTAAAACATCTCAAAGGCTCCAAGACTTCAGAGAGCTGTGCTACAAACACCAGCAAATACTCTGCTGCTCTGTTCCCTTCTCTGCTAACTCGGTCGCTAATTTATCTCGTGCTTTACCTCCACCTCCTGCCCTCCTGTGCCGGCATCAAGCAGGAGACGAACTCCCGAGACAGCCGAGCAGAAGCCAGACCATGGTGGAGAAAGAGGCAGGAATAAGAGGGCTTGTTTGGCAGACGAGGGCTAAGATGGTGTTCCAGCAGAGAGAGGGAAGAAGCAGAAAAGAGTAAGGTAACAAAAGCAAGAGGATGGATATTTTATAGTAGCGAGCTGGTACGGACAAGCCTGGAAGTTAAGACAACAGCTCTACCAGTGCTACAGCAGCAAGTGCTGGACCATGGTATGGGCACAGCCCTCAACATGCAAAACCATCACCAGCTTCCTTGCGTGCCTGCAGCGGGATGGGGAATCTCTGGCAAAAGGAGTCGAGACTGGTAGGACTCGCAAAGGAGCCCATGGCCAAAGAGGGGACTGAGCTCAAGGCCACAAGCCCCAGCCCTGTCTGAGCAACAAACGTTTGCAGAGCAGGGTTCCCCAGCCTGGCTTTGCACAGCCTTTTGTAAGTAAGCACAATCTCTGGCCTGGCCTCTCTAACACAAGAGCTTTAAAAATGCTCATAAATAACACCGAGTTTAATGAGAAAAGCCCATAAGAGGAAGGAAGCGATTCAAGAACCTGCACACCCCTGAAAGCTGACAAAACCTCACTGTGTCCACGGCTGCGGGGTTTTCATTTCCTTACCCCGCATGGCTAACTGCCAAGTCGAGCACAAGAACAACTTTGCTTCTGTTCGTCTCTCCACGTAAGCGAGTGACCAAGGTGCTGCTCGTGAGTGAAGCACAGGAGGTACAGGATTAAGATAGGTAAATAAGGAGACTTGGGTGCCGAAGCTCTTTGTTTGGGACTTCTCACTGGGGAAAGGTTTACATACGACCAACCGCAACCTGGTTGACCGCAATGACTAACTCGCTGCTCAGCCTGTCCACGTTCCAGCCCCGAGGCTCAGAAACGCCAGACCTGCTCGGCAAGCTCCGCATGCTCCGGCACTTCCCGACCCCTTCCTACCCCATGGATGAAACCACTCCACCAGCAGCTGCTCCTGGCCCAGCCCGATGAGGAATAAACACCGGTGAAGCTAACGAAATGGGTCTCATTATTTACATACCTTAACGCCGTACCTCTCGTGCATTGCACACAACGCCCGCCAGCCCCAGACGTCTTGCACAGACCTGGCAGAAGCTGCAGGAGGACTCTGGTAGCTCGGCAGCAGGACCTGGCCTGTCCTTGTTACTTCCCCGGCTCCTCACCGCCATGTGTAGAGTAAGGTCTAAGCGTTACCAGCGTCATTTTGGAGCTGGGGGACAGACACCACTGCTAAAGCAACAGACACATGCCCACAGATGAAGCCCGCAGCACAAGAGAGGTTTGTTCCTTGGTCAACGGCAAAGGTCTGATTAAAAACTCCAGGCTATTTTCTTTCATGCGAGATGCATTTCTTTAAAATATTTTTTTTTTTGCTGAAAATGTTTTCAACTAAAGGGTAGAGGACTGCAGTGCTGGGAGTCACGACCAGGAGCTGGCCTGGAGCACCCAGCTTCTTCAGGGAAACTCCTTCCTGGGTGTCTCAAATGTCCCAAAACACAGGAAAGCTCCATTTTTGCTTTCAGTATTTCTCTGGCTTGAAAAAAGGTGAAAGAACAAGGCCTCATATCTCTCAAATTTTGAAAGACATTGTGGTGCCTGGAAGGAAATCAGTCCAACTACAATACTTACTGTGGTTTAATATATCTCTCAACTACAAGACGTGTTTGGACGAGTGTTCCCATCCAGGCAGTGCAGAATGTGGTTGAGCATGCAAGAAAAACATCTTGGTTGAATTTCATTTCCACCCAAATACAATTTGCCAAAAATCACAGCTATTCAAATGTCATTTCACCTTTTTAAAAATAAAAAGCAGTATTACAATTGAATAGGCACCTATTAAAATGATACACCTGCTTCAAATGCATACAGTGATCCTCTAGTTAGAACCAAAGTTAACCTTATAACTAAAGCTAATACCAATTTCAACAGCAAGGTTACATTTACTCAAAACAAACGAGCCTACAGTCTTACCCAACAAATGAGAAAAAGCCCTCTGTTTTGGAAAATAACTGTAAAGTACAAAAGCAACACCAGCTTGAAACTTATTTTAAAAATAGATTTAGTTTTAAAATGGATCTATGTGTCGGATAGCCACCTATCCGACATGCCATGGTTAAATTCACCGATTTCAATCGTTGGGATTTATCCAGTCTGCTGTGCCCCGGATTTCCCAACCCTTGAGCAGCTCACCAGCACCGCTGATGCTTCCCTCTCCCTCTCCGCCAAGCACAAGGTCAATCAGCACTTCCCATGTCCTTTGCCAGTGCTGCATTTCTCCACGTGCCACCGTGCTGTCACTCTCTGGGCAGCGGTGAAGGACCGCGGCACGTAGACAGCGACCGGTAACGTCACCGCTGAACCAGACAAATACTGTCTGCAACCGCTTGCCCTTCTTCTTCCGAGGAGTTCAAGGCTGCAGCTCCAGACCTCTGCCTCCTGCTCGCAGCACAAGCCTTTTTTTTTTTCACCTTGCCTCTCTGACGGATGCATACATTAAACTGCATCTCCACTGCCTGCATTTCTCCCTAGGAAAGGCAGAAAGGGATCAAAAACAAGAGGTGCTTTCTGCTCAAAGTCCAAATACAACAGATTTTAGCACTGTCCAAGAGTCTGCGCAGGCTGAAGCTTTCCACTGGGCTCCAGTTTCAGGGATGCATCGCTGTGATCTCACCCCATGACGGGCTGCCACCAAACAACCTTATTATAAATAATACGCCTGGTTATTGCAAGAGCAATCATTCATAGTCATTCAGCAAGATTCCCAACGGGTTAATGAGAGCTGTATCATCACAGGGATGAAATACCTTGTGTCTGGGCAGCACCACCCTTCTGGCTCCGAGCCGCTCAGCAGCTCCAAGGGACAGGATTGTTCCCCTGGTGGGGTACTCGCCCTTCGTTAAGGAACGCAGTTTCACCTTGGGGAATGCCCCATTTAACAGATTAACTGCACTGGGGACGACCCTGCACAGGCAGGGTAGGGTTTGAAGTAACCAGAGTTTGTTTTGGTTACCTGCAGGGAAAAACCTCAGCTCCTCATGCAGGGCTCAACCTCCTCCCCCAGCCTGGTCCCCACCTAGGCAGGGGGTGCAGCTGGACGGCGCAGCTGAAGCCACATAGTTCACAACTTCTTCCCTTGCTCTGGTGATAGCACTCGCCTGACCTCGCCGTTCAGGAAAATAAAACAGAAATAAGCTGTCATAGCAGGGGAAAGGGGAGGACTCTGTCGGCAGCGAGATCCACGGAGCTGCATCAGCAAAGAGCTGATCCACGCTGCAATCGCCACCAGCTGAACAGAAACTATTTCCTGGTACCGGACAAGAAAAAACCTGCGATTCCTTTTTTTTTTTTTAACTTGCTCCTCTAATGATAGAGGGCCCTCAGGGAGATTTATAAATTGGGATCTCTGGTCTAGAAGCTATCATTATGTTCATACCATCAGCACTCAATGGCAAGTCCTGAAGGAACAACTAAATTTCTTGCTGCAGGCAAATGACAATACCCGTTTTTCCTGTAGAAGATGAAAAATACTTCCGAGGATGAGCACACGGTGCATGTCCTGTCAATTCATCCTTGCGTCTTCTGATTCAAAAAGCTCTCCCTATCTCCAGAGCCAAATGATTTCCCTTTCTTCTGACCAAATAAATGTGCTTTCCTACGCCTGATGCAGTCATGCTACAGTCACGTAAGTCTCAAAAGAAAGTGAAAAAGGGCTCACACTCTTCTTGATATGATTCCACCCTACCACTGACAGGTTTCCCCTTGCTTGAAATCCATCACAGCTCTGCCCAATAATTCCAGAAGTACCAGCAGAACATTAAAAAATATAGAAAAAGTTTTGTCTGGTTGAGAAAAACCCCATTTTTGTCTTCACTAAGTGCGGCTGGCAGGGACAGTCTGCTCAGTTCCTGTTTTGATTTTACAGAGCAGCTCGAACTCAGCTATGCAGCCTTTAGAACTGGCTGCCCTTTCCAACCGTATTCAAGAGTTGTCTCAAATGAATGGTTTTCCTTTTTATTTTACATTTATGTACTGCTGCATACACCCCAGGACCGAGGTACCCAAAGGGCAGGATGCCACTAACCCAGAGAGCTGGCGTCTCCGACAGCAGCAGCTCCCTCCCGACAGCAGGATTTTATTGCCTACCTAGCGTCACGGGGCAGACTGCCAAGAACCTCTGCAAGCTGGGGTGTCACTCAGTATTTCGCTTCCCTCGCTCTGTGTCATCGCGGGACGTGGATCTAAACCAGAGCCTCGGTTGGGGATTCCAGCTTTCAGCTGAAGGTGGAAGCTCTCGTTTGCAAGAATAGACTCTTTTGTGGCAATACCTGTGATGTTAGAGAAATCAGGCGCTCCTGTTGAGTTAAACACAAATCAGTGCATTTATCTTTTGCTTTTTGAGCCTGGAGTTCAAGACTGTCTCCAGGCACAAATGAAGTCACCACAAACTTATTTATATCCACATCACTAAGCCAGAATTAGCTATTTATACAAGCACCAAAAAGAGAAATACCCCAGGAACTCCGCATCAGCAAGCTCACTGGGAAGGGGCTCGAGGATATATCCTTCAGGCAGGACTGTCATCCCTTTCATAGCCTCAGCAAAACAGCTTACCGTTCAGAAGACTTCCACCTTTATGCAAGGATGTGCTACTTTACAATACATAATTTTAGGTGCCTTTCTTTTAAGGCAAAAGATACTGTTTACCAGAAACAAGAAGAGAACCCCTGCTTGTGAAGCATCCTCTCTGACCACAAATATCACAGAATTTCCTTCCAACGTCTTCTCTAGCTGGGTAATAAAAGGCATGCTCTCCCTCACGCTCCCACGTCCACAAAATGTTAACAAGCTCCAGGGTACAATGAAGCTTTCTCCATAGAAAAATGGTGTAGGTGTAATAAAGGCATCTATTGTTTTCACGACATCATTATGCTGCATAACTGAGAAGTGTCTCGAGCTCTCTGCTGAAAAGATCTTCTCAAAAAAATACATCTTTCCTGACATTCAAGTCACAGAGAGGCCATAGTAGAAATTAAGCTAGCGTCCAAGCCATCGTAGCAAAGTTTTGCTAGGCAGAAGATAATGGAAAAGTAAAGTTCAAGAGATCTTGTATCAAAATTCAGAGATTCAGATAAATACCCTCCTCCCTACCCACACCTTCCCACCCAAATAGTAGCTGGACGAGACATGAACGAGTTTTGATCAAATTAGGCATGTGCAAAACCAAGAGAGTGATCCCATTAAGTCATACACCCTTCTGGTCTAGACTAATTAAAGCCCTGCTGATATAATGGTAACTAATTACTTTGAACCAGAAAAGACATCCCTTTTGCATGTACAACATGAACACACATTCCCAGATAATTCACTTCCAATTCAGGGGAGCTGAGCTGCTTTCCTGGACCCCAGTCTCTCCGTTTCCCGTGGGGACAGGGGAAAGGAACGCGTCCCAAGGGGATCGCCTCCAGCCCTGGCCTCCTTCACGCTCCTGGAGGACCAGCAAAAACAAGCTGAGGGTAACTCAACAGTTGAGGGACCCTGCTGGGCCCTCCAGCCACGTTCCCCCAACCTCTTCACAACAAACCCAAAATCTCTCCTGTACTCTGACAACCCCTACAGCAACATGGAGAACACCCAGTTCTGGCAAGAAGTACCTGCCAGTGCCCCTGCCAGACACCAGGTTAAATATCCAGGTCACTGAAGCTCACCTGAAACTGTAGGAGAAGTTTTGCTTTAAGGAAAGCAAATAAAAACCAGTGCAAGTGGGTTTGGAAGTCAGACAGTAAGCCTTTATGCCATGCTCAGAGAAGCCGAGTAAAAAGCTTAGTGCAGAAATATGTGGTTTCTGCTAACGCTTCAGGTTTAATGTCTCCATAAAGCACTAAAAATACTTGTCTTTTATATAAGGGGAACAGCATTTATGCTAGCTGAGACCTCGGGTGAAAAAACAAGTCCAATCGTAATCCAAAGTAGCTCGTTACTGCTGTACGACAAGATTTAAATAAGATCCTTAACCTAAAGGTCTCACATGCATAACAGATTATCTGTTTTATTAAATCTATCAGCTCCTCAAATAAAAAAATAGTCTCTCTCCTACCAAGCTCATTTTCCTTAAGGATTTCACAAACGTGCTCAAACATCTGCAGAGCAGCCAGGCACAGGGCTTTCAAGG